GCTACTACGGCTACTACTATTACTACTACTACTACTACTGCTACTACTACTACTACTACTACTACTACTACTACTAACAACTAACTACTAACAACTAACTACTAACTACTACTACTACTACTGCTGCTGCTACTACTACTACTACTACTACTACTAGTACGACTACTATTACTACTACTACTACTACTACTACTACTACTACTTCTTCTACGACTACTACTACTACTACTTCTTCTTCTTCTACGACTACTACTACGACTACTACTGCTACTACTACTACTACTACTACGACTATCACTACTACTACTACTACTACTACTATTACTGCTGCTGCTACTACTAGTACTAGTACTAGTACGAGTACTGCTACTACTACTACTACCACCACTACTACTACTACTACTACTACTACTACTACTACTACTACTACTACTAATGGTACTACTACTACTACTACTACTACTACTACTACTACTACTACTACTGACTACTACCACTACTACTACTACTACTACTACTACTACTACTGCTACGGCTGCAACTACAACTACTACGACTGCTACTGCGACAACGGGTACTACTGCAAAGACGACTACTACTGCTACGATTACGACTACGACTACTACTATCGAATTTCCCCTACCTCCGCACACTCCTTGCATCCGTACGCCGTGCATATGTGTATGCGATTCGCTGGGGCAGTCTGCTATTCCAAACCCTCTTTCGATGGGTGCTCGTTTTTTCTACGCAATGCTGTTTCCACCTTCCGATCTCCCGCCTCCGTCTTCCTCCCTTGCCTCCTGCCTCCCACCTCGTCATCTCCAGTCCTGCCTGCCAGTCTGCCTCTCGAGTCTTGCCTTCGTGCCTCCCTGGGGGGCTGCGATTTGCGGAACTGCCACCACTTTCGGAAACCGCTGGGGGGTCCAACGTAATGACGTCCGATGCCAACGCACATTCGCATTCGACATCACCATTCCTGGGGGGCTGTGATCTACGAAACGGTGGTTACTTTCGAGGGCTTCCAGGGGGCACAACATACTGAAGTCCTACACCCATTCAGATTAGACATCACCATCCAGGGGGGGGGGGCTGCGATTTGCGAAATTGTCGCCAATGTTCGGGGGGGGGGGGCTGCTGGGGGGTCCACAATAACCAAATCCTACGAACATTCAAGGTCGGCATCACCAACCGTGGGGGCTGCGGTCTGCGAAACTGTCGCCGTATTCGAAGGATGCTGGGGAGTTCAGCATACTGACGTCCCACGCAGATTCACATTGGACCTCACCGCCCCTGGGGGAGGTTGCGACCTGCGAAACGGTTGCCATTGTCGAGGGCTGCTGGGGGGTCCATAATACTGACGTCCTACGCAGGTTGAGTGGACCGCACATTCCCTGGGGAGCTGCGGTTTGCAAAACTGCTGCCACTTCCGAAGGTCACTTGGGAATCCAGCGTAGCAACGTCCTACGCAGCTTCAGATTCGACCTCAACATCCCTGGGGAGCTGCGGTCTACGAAACAGTCGCAACTGTCGAAGACGACTGGGGGGCACAACATAATAACGTCCTACGGGAGTTCAGATTAAACCTCACCATCTTTGCGAGATTGCGATCTACGAGAATGTCGTCACTTTCCAGATTTGTTGGGGAGCACAGCATAGTGATGTCCTACGCTGATCCCGATTCGATCTCACCATCCCCGGGAAATTGTGATCTGCGAAGCTGTCGCCGTGTTCGAGGGTTGCTGGAGGGTCCCAAATACGGGCGTCCTACGCAAATTCAAATCGACATCACCATCCCCCGGGGGGCTGCTGTCTGCGAAACCGCTGCCACATTCGAAGGCAAGTGGGGGGTTCAGCATACTGACGTCCTGCGCTGATTCACATTCGACATCGCTGTCCCAGGGGGGGGGGGCGACCTGCGAAACCGTCGCCACTTTCGAGGGCTGCTGGGGGCCCCAGCATAAGGACGTCCGACGCAGATCCAGTTTAAACCTCACCACCCCTGGGGGCTGCGATCTGGGAAATGCCGCTTCTTTTGAACGCTGCTGGGGTTTTCAGCAAGGTGGCGTCCTATTCAAATTCGCGTTCGACCTCGCTACGGGGGGGCTGCGAACAGTTAAGCTAGGGCCACTTTCGAGGGCTCCTGGGGGGTCCAGCATAGCACGTCCTGCGCTGGTTCATGTAAGCATTGGTTGCCTTTCCCTCGGGCCGCCCGAAAGCCCGGTGGTGCGCCCACGGGCGTTAAACTCCAGCACTGATAGGTGCAGGGGGGAGGCGGAGGCGCGGGCGTCGAGTTCGGCCTCGCGAAGGTGGAGGAGGAGGAGGAGGAGGAGGAGGAGGAGCCGGAGGAGGAAGAGGAGGGAGAGGGGAGGGGAAGGCGGAGGAGAAAGGGGAGGGGCGACGAACAGCTGACTCCTGGGCGCCAGAGCGACTGGGCGCGGGCCGCGGCGCTTGTCCAGCGCGCCACTGGGAACGAATCGCAACCCTCCTTCATCCTGCCTTCTTGCGTTGTCGTCCACCGCGGCACTCCTCCTCATCATCTTCCTCCTCCTCCTCCTCCTTCTGAGTCTCCCCTTCCCCGTGCTCATGCCCCCTTGGCCCTGCCAGGAAAGAGGCAGCCCAGCCCAGATTCCTCCTCCTCCTCCTCGTCCTCCTCACCCTCCTCCCCCCTTTCCTCCTCATTTCCTCCTCCCCCTCCTCATCCTTCCTCGTTACACCGCGGCACTGCTGCTGTCGCGCTGCCGTGTCGGCCGCTCTTCCGTCCTTCTCCTGCTCATGGCTCCCGCCCCCGTTTCGTCTTTGAACCTGGGGCCTCGCTCATCCTTGTATGTGCTGTCCTGTGCGCCGCTTCTCTCACACAGCTTGCACGAGCAATATCAAATCCTACATTACCATCAGCAGCGCTATCCTTGACCAACTCATCTAGTCAATTCGTGCAAGTGGGTTGGGCACACCGCAAGGTAATTACCCCCCGGGATCCCGAACTCTCCCCTGGGGGTCAATATCGATGGCCCAGGGTCATTTTTTGTAGACCACGCTGGCAAAACCAGTTTCTGCATACATATATGTTCGTACATATCGATGTAGATATGTTTATATATTCATCAATACACACGTACGCATGGTATTTTTTCTGGTCGTCGCCGTACGATATTTCCAATCTCGCACTGTCGGTCTCCGGTGCATCCGAGGCGACCCAAGGAGCTCCTAAGATCGCCCCAAGACTGGCTAGCAGGCACCAGGAAGGCTCAGAATGGTGCCCAAGACGGCCCAAGGAAGGGCCCAAGACGGCCCGAGAGGGCCCCAAGTCACCCAAAGAGGACCCCTGGAACCGGGGCCCTGGAGGGGCCTCACAGAGCCCAAGAGGCCGCAAGACAGCCCAACAGGGCTCGCAGACCGCCCCAAAGCAGTCCCAAGAAAAACCCATGGCGGCCCAGAAATGCACACGACGGCCCAAGAGAGACACTAAACGGCCCAACAAACAAGAGGCCCCGGACCTACCAGGCACGGTGGCGGAATGGATCGGAAAACTACCAGGTCCGTAGCCCCCCTGTGGATATATCTAGCACAAAAGGTTGTTGGCGTGCTGGTTTCTACTATCTTTAATCCTTCCAGAAGGCTCCCAACGGGACTCGGCCTCCAGGGTCCCAAAGACGCCTCCAAGATGCTCCACGAGGGCCCCAAGATGGCCCGAGCTGCCCCCCAGATGGCCTGAGAGCCCCCCGAGACGCCCCAAGAGGGCTTAGATAGAGGCCTCCTAGATGGGGTCGGAGTATCGCCGATGCATCGGCGACGTGGGCGATGCATCGACGACGTCGACGTGAAGCAAAGATGGCTCCACATCGAACCGCGTCGTCGATGCATCGGCGATGCGGCTCGATCCTCCGACCCCATCTACTCGAACACCATCTGGGAGGCATAGATGAGAGGACCTCTGAGAAACCAAACTCATTAAGGTTCCATCGGCTTCCAATGACCTCATTCGCGCCTGTTCAGGCCTTCGAAGCTCCAAGACGGCCCTAGAGGCGCCCAAGGTCGCCCCGAGACGGCCCAAGAGACGGCCCCCAAGCCGCAGGGGAACCCACGACTGCCCAGAGAGGCCAGGCCAGACGGCCTCCCAAAGCCAACAGGACATTCAGGCCCCCCCAGGCCCCACAGAGGACTCCAAGAGGCCCCAGGAGGGCCCCAAGAGGCCCCAAGAGGCTCCCAAAGGCCCCAGGAAGCCCCACGACGGCCTCAAGAGGCCTCCTTTTCCTCCTCCTCCTCCTCCTCCTCCTCCTCCTCCTCCTCGCCCTCCTTGTCCCCAGTCTCCTTCTCCTCCTTTTTCGGTCTGTCCCAAGTGGTCCACAAGTGGATCTACCACGGCTGCGAAAACACGTGCCCAGTACCTTGGTCAGAATTTGACCCAACATTTTGCCGCATGGGCGTTTCCACAGGGCAGATGGGTGCCGTGGTTCGCAGGAAGCGTCTTTAATCCATGGCGGCCAACACCAACTCGATCCTCCTCCTCTGTCGGCGGTGGACAAACCTCCCTTTGAATAAACCTCCACTTCGTGAAAACGGCCTGGGACCGAAACCGACGGAACCGGCCCCGCAAAAATGACGGCCGCGACGTCCTCTCGCGAACCGAAAGCGGCCAACTCGCCAATCGACGTGTCAGGGCAGGAGGTCTGTCAACCCCCAACTCTGGAGCGGCCGCACGCGTCGCCCTCGAAGCAGGTGCCGAGCGTACCCGATGGGCCGAACCCCCGAACCCCTCCGTGGGGCCCCGGGGGCCCCTGGCGGCCCAGCAGGGGCCCACAGTGTTCGAGAGCCTCGAACCTCGGCAAGGCTGAACCTAAACGGCGTTCTCCGTTTTCGTTTTGTTCTCGTTCTCCCTCGTTTCGTCTTCGCTCCAACTCCACCGCAAAGCGAAGCCAGAAACTAGAGCGGCCCACGGAATCGCCAAAACGCCGCTTGGATCCAGCCCTGAGCCTCGGTCCTCTCCCTCCTCCGGGGATGGCCGCACGCGTCGCCCTTGGAGCAAGTGCCGAGCAGGTCGAACTTGCAGAGCCTCGTCTTGCGGCAGACGACGTGCAGCTTGCCAGGCACGGCGCGTGCCTGCACGACGACGAGCACGACTGCGAGGGGGCGCCAAGGAGGGACCGGCTCGGGGGGGCCATCGACCCGGAATCCGCGATGCATCGACGCTAGATCGGCGATAGATCGGCGATAGATAGGCCCCGATCGCAGATCCAACGTTGCCCCGTGGCTTTTGGGTCATAATTTCGGGGGCGGCAAAAAGGGGGGTGTCAAAGAGGGGGGGCGCAAATCATGACCGGCGGCATGTGCGCGGCCCAGCGGGGGGGCCAGGGACGTGATGAAATGAGAAAGAGGCGCCATGAGATCTGGGGATATCTCATGGCCCCCGCCATGATATCCCCCCCCCCCCTAGTCATCACCCCCTCTTTTCCGCCCCCGCTCGGGCCGTGCCGGGGACCCCCCGGAAGGCCCATCGGCGAGGCGCGGCTGCTGGACACCGCCCCCCCGAAGCTGGAGAAGCCGCCGAGAGCCGACGACACGCGCGGGAAAGCCTGCAGCCTCGAAAATCCCTCCCCTCCCGCGCGTGGCCCCTCCCCCCCCAGGCATCCCATCCTGAGCCCCTCCCCTCCCCTCCCTCCCCCCTCTCCCCTCCCCACCCCTCGCTCCCCTCCTGAGTCCCTCCCTCCACAATTACTCAATATGAAAATACTCTCCCTCTTCCCCTGATGGCGTCCGGGTGATGGCCGCGCACCCTCCGCGTACTGTTTTTTACACACAGGATTACCGGGAAATCCCGGGAAACGACTTTCGCTGAGGCGCCGGCGTCATTTTTTCCCCAAATGCTGCTCTCGTTGAGGCGCCGGCCTCATTTCTGCTCCCGAATCGTTCCGAATCCTGCTCCCGCTGCAGCGTGGGCCTCATTTTCGGATCGGTGTTTGGCCTCCGTCGTTCAGGATGGCGTTCTCGCCCCAGCGCGGGCCTTTTTCTCGCGCGCCCATCCGCCCGCCACCACCGCGCCGCACCGCCACCACCACCACCACCACCACACCACCCACCAACCACCACCACCACACCACCAGCACCAGCACCAGCACCACCACCACCACACCACCACCACCACCACCACCACCACCACCACACACGCACGCACGCACGCACGTGCACCACCACCCACTACGCACGCGCGCGCGGAGCCACAGGTCCGCTACGACACGCGTCCGCGGATAGAGAAAATCAACGCCATGGTAAGGGATGGGAGGGAGGGGTAGGACGTCAGATATGACGCGAGCGCACCTAGCTTGCCTCCCTCCCCGCCCTCCCCTCCCCTCCCTCCCCTCCTGAGCCCCTCCCCTCCCCACCCTTGCCCCTGAACGACGGCGGCGGCGGCGGCGGCCGCCCAGGGGCCGCCCGGGGGAGCGGCGACCGAGGGGCCGCCGACGCCCGAGGCCTCCGAAGCGGGGCTCGAGTGTACGAGCGGAGCCCGAGGCTCGCGCAGCGTCGCCGATGCCTCGCCGACTCCTCGGCAGCGCGTCGGCGACGTCTGGGAGGCACTGGCGAGCAGAGGGATGCAGGGGAGGCCAGTCCACAAGAAACCTTCCACAAGAAGCCCAGCCCTGAGACCCCAGGGCGTCCGCTGATTTTTGAGGTGTGGGAACGTCGCGCTTTTTCCATGGCAGAACCATCGAAACCCAAGAAGCCTGGGGCACCCTGGAGGCAAGTAGGGTGCTTCTTGGCATGGGACTCCACTGTATGTCGACCCCTATCCCAGGCTGCGTGGGATTTTTTGAAGGGGCCCTGGGACACACAAATAAATACACAAATGAAAGGATGCTCCATACTTTACTCATATTTTCGGGGCTTCTGTCTTCCCCCCGACTGCCCACATTTTCCCAGATGTTTTGGGGAATCGACGATTTGTTGTGTCTGTGCTTTTTCTCCTCTTACCTTTCGAAGGGCCAAACATGTGGGGCGCAGCCCTGGGATAGAGCGCGGGGGGGGCGCCCATCCTCGATATGGGGTGCGACCGAGCAGCCCCCATGGGGGTGTACCCCAGGATTCCCCTCCTTTCCTTGGCCGCTTCACATCTAGTTGAGAAGTCGGGGGTTGGGAGATTAGAAACATCGTCTGCGACTGGCAACGTCGGGGTGGCGAGAAACCGGGTCCCACACCGAGCCGATATCGCCGATGCATCGGCGTTGCGGCGCGAGCCTCATTACGACTCCACTCGGGGAGACAGAAGACTCGGGTTCGGGGGACTCGGTTTGGCCTGGAGAGGCCGTCAAGAAAATCACGAGACACAGGCTGAAGCTTGACGCGAGCTCCCACTGCAAGCATCCCACGATCACTGGACTGCCCAAATCCAGGACGGGCCTATCGAAAAGCCCAGGAAAACCTGAGTTCCCGCAATCTCGAACCTGAAGCTTCCCCGACTCCACCTGCTCGGACTCCATCTATCGGGGCGAGTAGCCCAGGGGCGGGCATGACACGCATTCGCCAGGGAGGCTCGCCGAAAAGACTTGGATTATCGGCAGCCCAGGATAAGCAGGTTCGTGTCGTGTCGACCCCAGCTTTGATTCCTGACACCGCGGGGATCGTTCAACCTTGAACGATCGGCCGTCTCCGAAACCTCTGATCAGTCAACCTCGACCGACTCTGGGTCAGCGGCGGCGTTCGACCTTGAACGCCGACGGAGGGGTCGCCGGTCGACACGACGCGAACCTACCGTACATGCACCCAGGGATCCGATGCCATGTTTTCCCCATACAAGGGGCCCCTTCGGCGCCCCTTTTTGGGGCCCCTTTGGGGCCCCTTCGGCCCCCCTGTTGGGCCCCCTCTGGGGCCTCTTTGGGGCCCCTCTGGGGCTTGGGGCTCCGTTGCGACCCCTTTGAGGCTCCTTTGAGTTTTGGGGGCCACTTTGAAGCCCCTTTAACCCCTTTGGGGTTTGGGGCCCCTGTGGGCCCCCTTCGGGGCCCCTCATCCTGACTCGTTGTTTGGCGGTCTCGGGGCCTCCCGGACACCGACAGCTGCAGCAGAAACCGCCCGTCTGGATTGGTCCATCACGTGGCATCTCGGGGTACCTCCCTGGGTGAATCGTCGCCTCCAGATCTGGGAGGCACCGAGACGCAAGGCTTAGTGGGCCCCGGAAACGGCAAGGTGTTGTATACATATATATATATACATATATATATTTTATATATATATATATATATATATATATATATATATATATATATGCATACACAAGAGGTTGCATTGGCGCTGCGCGCCATGCACCTTGGTCCTTTTGAGTTCCGCACGCAAGCGGAATGCGTGCGTGTGTACATGCGCGCATGCATGTATACACGCGCACGCGCATGCACGTTCCGTACGTCTAGGTGTATAGTATACTTACAGTGTTGCATGTGTATACAGTGTACATGGGCACATCTAAATGTATGTGTGTAAGGGTATGAGCACGCATATGCAATTTGTACGTGCTTTGTCGGTGCACGCCGGAGCAATGACTGGGTCACAATGTGGAATGTCATGGGAGCAAAATCAATGAATGCTCGCATTCGGAAACGTCGTGGGGTGTTTTCGGGGCCCTCGTGGGCCGTTTTGGCGCCTTCATGGGCCGTCCTGGGGCCTTCTTGGGCCGTCTTGGGGAGCTTGGGCCCGCTGGAGCCCCCTTTGGACCCATCTTGGGCACTTCCGGGGACCTCTCATGGCCCTTTTGGGTCTGTGCTGGGAGCCCTTGGGGGGCGTCTTGGTCCATTATGGGCTGTCTTGGGGCTCTCGTGGGCGATCGTGGGGCTCGGCTCGACCGTCTTGAAGCTTTCTTGGGGGCCTTTCGGGGCGTCTTGAGGCGATCTCGGGGGCTTTGAAGCCGTCTTGAAAGCTGATAAAATCCGAACGGCGAATATGCTAAAATTGTAGGTCTTACGAACAGAAGGGGACGATTTGTATGTTTTGAAGGCCCCTTGGAAAGCTCTTTGGGGTGCCTTGGGGGTCTCTTGGGCCGTCCTGCAGCAATTGGGGTCCCTCTTGGAGCGCTCTTGTGCTGTCTGGGGCCTCCCTTGAGCCTTTCTGATGACCCCTCTGATCGCTCTGGGTCTGCTGGCAAAGCGTATGTGGAGACCCGGAAGCCGGGTGACCTTTTTCCAAGGACATCCAAGGGATCCAGGTTTGGGGTGGGAGGGGGGTAAGGGTTCCCCCCCCCCCCCCGGGCTTGTAAAAATATAGGAAAGGGAATACATGTATATATATATATGTGTATATATATATACACATATATATACATATACATATTATATACATATATATATATATATATATATATATATATATATATATATCATAACTATATATATATATATATATATATATCATTTCCGAAACAGCGTCCCATCAACATAGAAACGGCGAACGAACGGCGACCAAAAGCGGCGAACAGAACGGCCCTGGAATGGCAACCAAAACCGGAACCGGCAACGACAAAACAACGACGACGACCCCCCTCCAAAAAAAACGCCAGAACCACTTGAAGAGCGGCAAAACGGACCCGTCGAAAGAACATGGCCCTGCCGCTTCCGAGGCCAGCGCAGACGCACGCGGCCACCGCAGGGGGCCGAGGCAGGGCCGCCGAGGGGGCAGCCCGAGAAGGAGCGCGGCCCGCGCGCCTGCGCGTCGCCGCCTGCCTGGAGCGCCTCGCCGCCGCCCTGCAGCGCCATCTCTCTCCGAGGGGGCGGGGGCCACCGATCGGCCTGCCCATTCCCTGTGTCTTGTTCGGCTTCGCGCGTGGCTTCGTCGGCAAAGGATCAAGGATATGCTCCTCGAGGGTCCTCGCCGAGGAAAAAGCGCAGACGTCCCAGCGATGCCAGGGGGAGGGGCCACCGATCGGCCCGCCCCCCCGGCGCGCGGGCGCGGGGCGCCCGGCTCGGGGGCGACGACGGGGGCGAGCGCGGCCCATGGGGCAGCCGTGCCACGACGCGCTCGTGTCGGGGAGCCTCGCCGCGGGCATGGGGCCGTCGGCGCCCCTGGAAGCAGGTCACGCACAGTGTCAGCTTAACAATGGAGAGCCTTGGGGCGCACAAGTAAATGCGCACAAATGAAAGGATTCCCAATATTTGCTAATATCTGCTGGGTTTCTGTCTTCCCCCCCACTTCCCATATTTTCCCATGTTTTCTAGGGGGTCGACGGTTAATTGTGTTTTTGTGTGTTGTTCCCCTCCTGAAGTAAATCCGTGGAAGGCGCGTGTTAAAAACACAAATGTACCTGCTCGGGCGGATCGCGGGGTGGCGCCCGCCAGACTGAAAATCAACGGGGCGGCGCCAGTGATTGGCGCCGACGCCCGGCCGCCCAACGAGGTGGAAGGGGGGGTGTTTGGTGGCAAGGGCAAGCCAGGGCGTTCCTCTCTGTCGAACCGATGCGGGCCTGCGGGCAAGGCGGGCTGGACGAAAGTGGGGCGCAGCCAATGGGGGATTTGCCAAGCAGCTCGCGTCGCCGATTTTCCAAGCGCCTCTTGGCGCCGAAAGCGGCCAGGCGTCGAGGACTGGCCCTTCGGCGGGGCGACCGAAACCTGCTGCGCGCAGCAGGCTTTGCAACCCCCCCTTTCCTTCCCCAGCCTTTCGTCCGACCATCCCCCCCTCCTTTTCCTCCTCCTCCTCCTCCTCCTCCTCCTCCTCCTCCTCCTCCTCCTCCAGCCCATTTCAAATGCATCAGACAGTACGTGGGACCCCCCCCACACTCACTCACACTCTCTACATCTCAGCAACTTCTGATGGGCGAGCGGGGGCCGTGCACCGCCAGGTTGGGGTGGTGCTGCTGACGTTCGTGACTACGCCGTGCGACTTCAACTGGATGGTTACAACCCGTGCAGCCTTGTACAAACGAGGCGCCTCATGGAGATTAGCGAGGCTATGAAGAGCGCTGCGTTCATGGCTATGACTGGCACGCGTCTGAGGACCACTCCTGGTGCAGCTGTCTGGCACGCGTCTGAGGGCCATCTTGGTGTGCATTTTGGATATGGACGTGGTCCTTTCACACATCGCTGCGCAGGAGTGTCTATCGGTATACAGAAGAGCTGGCACGTTCAGGGCAAGATGTATCGCACTCATGTCCCACCTGACGTTGACCTCGGACGCGGCGGCCTTGTTCGTACCATTGCGAAGAATTCTGACATCACCATCATAGCGCTCTATTGTCCGCCGACTGCGGTGGGCCGTGCTGCTGCTCCTTGGAAGAAGACTATTGGTGTACTGCTGAAGCGGTTGGACTCTGAACTGTCGGCTTTGCCCTGTCGGTCTACACCACTCATATATACTGACTTGAATGATTATTTTGCCTCTGGGGAGGGCTATCAAGGCCATGCTATTGGAGACTACACACGACCTCGCATGGGCTATGCTGGACGCGCCTTCTGTGAGCTGCTCGACGGACACATCTTGCATTGCCCTGACACGTTCTGTCGGACGACGACCACATACTACAACGGTGACCACTCCAGCTACATCGACCATACCGCCATCCCCTTCGGCCTGCGCTCGCGCGTTTCTCGATACATGTCTATAACGCGGCTAGGCCGGCGCCTTCAACTTGCTCCTGGCAAAGGGAAGATAGATTTGGTTTTGCCGTACATTTCACCACGTGTGCGTGCTCGCTGGGACCAAGACCTGCTGGCGATTGCACTTCAGACCCCTGGCGTGCGCGAGAGTTTCTTGAAGGAAGTGAATGGTGTGCTACATCCTTCTCGGCATGACATCCTTGGTTTCCTTGAGGCCCCGATGGTTGATGATGGTTATAAGTCTATGTGTTATGTGATATTTCCTGTTGCTGAAAACATGTTGGCCGCCCACCTGGTGCGCATGACCCTGAGACTGTGCGACTTCGACGAGAGGTGCGTGCCCTGGTGGACCTGCGAGGCAAGCTACGTGCTGTGGGCGCGCCTGCTGCTCATCATGATTCCCAGGTGCGTGATCTTGCAGCTCGGCTGAAGGGGAGAGTCAGAAGATGGAGACGCGCGCTACGATCGACCTGAACATCCGAACTCTAGGAGGCCTGGCGCGTCCGCGAGCCGGCTGCCGTTCAAGCACTCTCGAGGAAGCGTGCCGGCACGTGCCTGGGCCCCAAGCGGATCTACAATGCGGTGCGGCGCCAGGCCCCCTCCATGATTGAGTTGGCTGGAAAGCTTTCGTTAGCTGGTGACCGTGGGGGGCTTGCTGCGGTGCCTATCAAGATTGATGACTTCCCGAGGTCTCGCTCGTCCTTGCCCCCCACGGGTACTTCCGATCGCGAAGCAGCGCCGGGTAGGGGGGCCAAGGATTTGGACAGGGGCACTGCTGTACTTAAGCGTGCCTCCCGACGACGTGCTGTGCCTGACTGGAGTCTTCCTGGCGAGATATGGATGATGATGCTCGCCCCTCATTCACACGCAAACGAAGCGGGCCCATAAGAGTTGGCTTTCAAATGGAGACTCCTGACGCTTCCGCTATCATGGAGACGTTCCTGGCCCTGGCCTTGGCCTGTGCATGGGGAGTGAGGGTAGTTTCCCGTCTTGCTGTGCTGGAGATTCTAATGTGTGGCAAACCCCTCATATTGATGGGGGTACTCGCTATATTGATTCGCTGTGCCCTTTTTTCGAGCCATGTGTCGAAGCATGTATCGATCTGTGCCGTTCGGACCTGCCCATCCTGCTGACCATAGTTGCGTGCCGCATCGGCGCCGTGACAATGCTATTCTGTGTCTAACGCACGGCGTGGCGATTACGCAACCAGAAGATCCCGTTCGTGGCAATGCTGGACGACATGACGAACGCCTACGGCTGTTGCAATCATGATCGCATGAATGAGGTATTACGAGAATATCTACCGTATGCTGATGCTTTGTTATTGGAGGGTCGTCGCCGTACACATGTATTGCAAATCGAAGCTTGTGATGGGGACATTCATTTACTCCTTACCAATGGCGCGCTTGCGTGTCCTATCTGTCGGCACGATCCCTGTGCTAATTCGTCTCAGCTACAAGAACACATCCGAGACGAACATCTCCCTCCACCCCCAGTGCCACACACCTGCTCCGATACAACCAGCGTGGGCGCTCAAGCGCGCCGCTCCCGAAGGGTCAGCAGCCTCGGCTGCGGCCGGCGCCCCGCCGCTGCAAAAAGCCAAAAGGGTCACCTCCTGCCGAGGCCTCGGGCGCAAACCCTCGGTCGGACCGCCCCAAGAAGCAGCGCACGGATCGCAGCACGTCTCCTGGCACGCTGGCGGACTCGGGCTGGAATCATAAGCACAAGGCCATCATCAGCGTACTGGTCAAATCGACTCTGGAGTGCAGCCGGGCAGTGCGCGACCTCTGGTCGCTGGGAATCGACACGTGGTTCGTGGACGCGACGCCGCCAGAGGTGCTGGGGGCTCCGGCCGCGGGCAAGGCCTGCAGCGGGACCGTCGAGACGGCGGGCAAAGGCCACCCGCACGGTCCTCCTCACCGTCACATCTTCGGTGGGTTCGCCAGCAAGCTCTTAGAGCGTTCGACAGCGCTCGGCGCGACCAGCTTCGAGACGCTCACGAACTGGCACGAGAAGCACCTCTGCACCCAGCACATCGAGGAGATCTGGACCGTGCTCAGGCTCCTTCGGATCACCAAGTGTTGCGATCAGGCCAAGAAGAAGGTGCATCTAGCGCTGATGGAGACGGATCGGTCCCAGTTTGCAGTCGAATCAGGAGAGCCCTCGATTCCTCCCAGCACGCATTTGAGAGCGGTGTTCAACAAAGTGCTGGGCGAGGTCGGGGCCAAGCGCGCGATCGGGGCCGCCCCACCAGGAGCCATGGAGGAGATGCTGCAAAAAGTTCTTCCTGAGTCCTAACTTTGCCGCCCACCGGCACACGCTTGGTGTACTTGTATGGGTACTATAAGCTCAGTCTTGACAGTTGGTGAATGATGGTTGTTGGCTTACGTGTTGACTTGCTCTGTCTTTGACTGATGTACTACATGATTGTGTACCCGCTTCACCTGTCCAGCGTGTTCCTTGGCGTGTATGTTGGCTGGATGGTGCTGGGCACTGAGTACGTCTGGAGCCACTTCGGAGCCCTGTACTTCGCTGGTGCCAATGAGTGCTTCGGCAACCTGCCCAGTGAGTTCCAGGCTTGGGGCTGCTGCTCGCTGGCGGTGTCGTTCTCCCCCCTGCCCTCTTCCCCCGGTGCCCCTGCCTTGCTCCTGTTCCCCTCACCGGCGTGCGCACACTTGTGCTCACAGCGTACAGTTGTGAGTAGTCACAGGTTTGGTCGCCCCCACTCTCCGTTTCTGGATGTGAACCCAGCTTCGGCTGGCAGCAGTGAGAACATGTGATGTAGTCTAGCAGGTTGCACTCCATATGATGCGCGCACTGTGCACACACTTTACCTGCATGAAGGCCGACAGTGGCCTTGCTCCTCACGCTTGCTGACGAGATCATCGCACACTGCGCACCTCCAGACCGCGTATTATTATTACTCCTCCTCCTCCTCCTCCTCCTCCTCTTCCTCCTCCTCCAATTACTCCCTCTCCATTCCTCCACCTCCTTTCCTCCCCCCCTTTCCTCACCCTCCTTCTCATCCTCCTCCTCCTCCTCCTCCTCCTCATCCTCCTCCTCCATCTCCTCCCTCTCCTCCTCTTCCTCGTCCTCATCCTTCTCCTCCCTCTCCCCCCTCCCCCTCCTCTCTCCTCCTTCCCCCTGGCGCGCATGATTAAAAAAGA